GAACCACCAGGGCTCTGGCAGGTCGGCCCTTCCCTGCACACCACCCCCCACGAACAGAGAACAAACCCTGGGGCTCCCAGCATGCTGCCCACCCCCAGCCCACCGACTCACCAGGCTCCGTTTGCCGCCTGCTCTGCCTGCTGCCCCACAGGGTTTTCATAGCCGCCTCCGGCCAGGCCAAAGGTGTAGGAGCGCCGCACACCTGGGGCAGGGACGAATGAGATCACGCCAGGGAGCCCAAAGCAACACGGGCAACTAGAGGACCCTTGTGCGGTGAAGCCCCTCGTGATCGCCCAGGCCCCAGGGACCATGAGCTGGCCAGGAAGACCACAGGCTCAGCCACTGACTCTAGGTTGGCCCTAAGTGGCCTTATCCGCAAAGTGGGCAGTGAGAACTCCCCATACCCGAAAGATGCCATGCAGACGTCAGACAAGGCGGGCGACACGCTGCCTGCAGGACTGTGGGCAGGGAGCACACAAACCCCCGTCCACAGGGGCAGGAGGGGCGGCCGGCACGGGGCAGGGCTCACCACTCTCGTCATAGAAGTAATGCACGGCGCCCTCAGAGGTGTCATCGAAGGTACAGGCTTCGTGCACGCTGGCCCCAGCACGGGTGAGCAGCAGCGAGGAAGCGAAGTGCAGGGCGGAGGGCAGTGTCAGTGCCCGTGAGTGCGAGGCGGCCCGGCCCCGCGGAGCCTCCTGCAGGCTGCTGGAGATGGGAGGGGGCCGGGTCAGCACCGCGCAGCGCCTGCCAGCCTGCAGCCCACTGTGGCCCAGCTGGTGGGGGCTCACCTGGGGGGCGAGCCCATGACGGAGGCTGGCGGGGTGGGGTTGCTGCCGGCATTGTGGCGCCGTCGGATGGCCTGTGCCCGCCTCACGCTGCTGGAGCGGCCCCGCTTGCCACTCTCCTCAGCTGTCCAGAGACAGGGCCCCGTCAAGGGTGAGTGACAGCTGGAGAAGTGAGGGGTGACCACCCAGCACCGAGCTCCAGGCTCCAACCCCGCCCAGTCACTCCGCTGTTTGCACCTTAATTTCCTCTCTAGAAATGAGGCAAACAAGAAGCGCCCTGGCGGGAACAGAAACCTAAGTGCAAACCACGGCCACGGAGCCCAGCCAGCGGCTACGGGGACCTGGCAACGACAGCACCCCGTCGCAAAGCTCACAGCGGCAGCGGCCCAAGGCGCACACCCCTCGCCCATACCCACAGCTCTGCCCCCTCGTCCCCACTCACCTCCCCCCACGGCTCCTTCCTCTTGTAGCTCCCCGCGCCAGCCGGGCTGGTTGGCAGCGGGGCCCCTGCGGGCCTCGGCCGGCACCTCGGCCGGCTCGCCAGCAGACAGCTCCAGCCCTGCCTGAGACTCCAGCTCCGCTTTGGAGCCGGCCAGGGGTGCCCTGAGGACGTCGCCACCAGCCCCGTCCATGCTGAGCACGCGAGCATGGGTTTTGGCGCTGGCAGTACTGGGTGTCCGCTGAGTCCCGTAAGGCCGCTTGGGGGGCACCGCCGTCCCCTCCTCAGCCCCGTGAGGGGCCCGCCGCTTCCGGGGTGCCCCAGCTGCGCCCTGGGAACTCTCGGGAGAGCAGCAGGATGTGGAAGAGGAGCTGTCGGTACTGTACCGGCGCTGGGAGCGCAGGCTGGAGGCTGGGCTCAGGCCGCTGCCCTCGCTCGTGTCTTCGTCCTCGAAGAAGCTGCCAGCCTCTAGCAGGGGCCGCCGGGGCACTCGGCCCGGCGGGGAGTGTCTCCGCAAAGGTGGCCGCCGCTTGCTGGGCCTCAGCAGGGCCAGGTCCTTGGGCCGCACGACCAGGAGTGGCTCGGCAGGGCCTGGTGGCGTCCCAGCCCCAATGACCGTGTCAAAGGAGCGCAGTGTGTCATCGGAAGGGACCCCTGCATCGGGGGAGGCGGGCAGCTCGGCCTCGGAAGGTGGGTCCGTGTCGCTGCCCTCTGGGGCCTGCCCGCCTGGCGGGCTGTCCAGGTGGGTGGAATTGGTCTTCTCGCTCTTGAAGCTGCTCAACGTCTCCCGGTCAGTACCACTGAAACAGGAGTCGGAGGAGCCAGCTTTGCGGGGAGTGGGGTCACCGGAGCTGCGGCGGTGGAGGAGCTGGTAGCCACCACTGCCAGCAGCCCCCCGGCGTAGATCCCGGCCGCTGCTGGTCCTTGCCAGGGCCCGGTCAGAGCGGGTCAGGGTCAGGAAGCTCTTGGTCAGCTCCTGGCTGAGGCTCCCTTTCAGTAAGGGACTCATGGGGGTGTCCGCCACGCTGCTCCCGCTCCATGGGGTTCCGTCATCGGCCAGGGGAGACCGCTCTGAGGAGTCCGTGCTGGGCAGCGAGGGGTGCGGGACAGTCCCCGGGGGCATGTGGGGAAGGTCGCCAACTGCCGAGAGAGAGCCAGGGAGTGAGGGACGGCATGGATTACCCTAGAACCTGCTGGTTACCATAGGGTCCCAGCCAGGACAGGGTGGGCAAGATGAAGCAACAGCTAGGGTGTCGTGTGTGTGTAAGACCCTGGGCTCCCCACTAAGCCCACTCACTGAGCTTCTCCTGCGAGTTCAGCTTGAGCATCTCCCGGTCAGCTGAGGTCACGGTCACGTTGTTGTTGCCCTGCTCGCGCACCAGCTCCTTGATGTCTGAAACCAGGAGGCCCAGCAGGTGCTTCAGCAACCCCCAAGTGCGCATGCGCCACCCCCCAGCCCACACCCCAGCCCTGAGCCACAACTACCTTACCTCTGAGTGCTCCGGCATCCTCCATCCGGGGCAGCAACTCCTGGGCAAACAGGGCAGCAGGTAAGCTCAGGAAGTGAGGGGTGGGGAGGGCAATGCTAGGCTGCTGTCACCTGTCACTCACCGACACCTGGTTGAAGCCGAAGATGGAATGCTGGGAACTGCAGCGAACCGGCGGCGTGGAACTCACTTTCCGAAACACAGTCATCTCCACTCCGGGGTCCCTGGCGGCAGCAGAGAGCGGCAGCTTTGGAACCTCCATCCCCGCCTTATACCTCACTTCCCAGCAGCCCGAGCACCGGTCCCTCCCGCAGGGCCCCATCCTGGTCCACCTACCGAGGCGGACTGCTGTCTCCCTGGGCGGCTTCCTCCTCAGGCTCCCCGGCTGTGGAGTTGTGTTTTTCCACAATCTCGCCCTGGTCAAACATGGCGTGCAGCCGGTAGTTCACCGTCTTGATGGTAGCGAAGATGACACCCACCACTAGGCAGTACACACCGGCAACGATCAGGCTGGGGGGCAGGACCTACAGGAGGATCACGGGTCAGGTCCCTGCCAAGCAGTCCTGCCCGGTCAGGAATGCAACTGCCGGCACCACCGACCATCACGGCCAGGACTCACAGGGGCTGCGTTCAAGGTCAGCCCACCCAGGAGATGGGAGTGCAGGGTCCCCGCTGCACACACCCCGCCCGGGGTTACAGGTGGCGGCCGCGGCGGCCTCTCACCATGTACAGCAGGAAGGGGAACGTGAGCAGGAAGATCCACACGTAGAGATGGAAGCAGTTGGAGAAGGTGCTCTGGTGCGGGTCGAAGAACCAGCCGCCCGTAAGCGAGGCCCACACCCCCTGGCGCAGGATCTGCAGCACCTGAGACCCCATGGCCCCGCAGCTGCTGCCCCACGCCCGGGACCCTCATGGGGGCGGCCCCCGGCCCATGCCCCGCCTGGCGCCCGAGGGCCCCGGGGCTCGGCCTGGGCGCTCACGCCATGGCCTCCCCCGTCCAAGGCGGGGGAGCAGCGGCAGCTCGGCGGGGCGAGGGTGCGGGCCCGGCTCAAGAGGACGGGGTGCGGGGCTGCGGCCGCATCAGGGGCGGGGTCCGGGCCCGCACCCCTGGCCCAGCAAGGCTCCGAGGGACCCAGTCGGCAGGCGGGCGCGGGGCACGGGCCGGCCACCCGTTGGCGGCATCCAGAGGTGGGCGTGGGGCAGCGGGAACGACGGGGTCCCTGGGCTGCGGACCGGGGGAGGACAGCCCCAGGATCCTGAAGTCCACTTCCGGGGTCGCAGGTCACCCGCTAGGGTTCCGTGCCGGTGCCGGCCCGGAGGAGGGAGGGGAGGCCGGAAGACGGAGCCGCGAGCCTCCAACCTGCGGAGGCGCATGCGCCCGGTGGACCCTGCCAGGACCCGGAAAAGGGAAAAAAAAAAATACTGCTGGTAAGAGTGCGCAAGCGCAGAGCGCAGGCTGGAAAGGAGGGCGGGGCGCGGAGACGCGGAAGTGCCTTTTGCGCGTGCGCAGAATCCAAATCAGAGGTGTGAAAAAAGAGAGGTATTTGTGCGCATGCGTACACCCAGCTTGGCCCGCCCTGTCCCCTGGCTCCGCCCCTCCTGAGGACCACCCCTACCCCGACGTCACGAGCGTCGCCTTTTCCCCTCCACGAGCGGCCTCCCCTTCTGGGCCGGCGCTCAGACCTAGGGTGTCAAGATCGGCTCTCCGGAACAGGCAGAAATAGTCGAGAGAGAGCGTCATCGCTCTTAAAGGAACAGATGCAAAACAAGACGAGTCCACGGTGGCCAGCGGTTGCTGACGACTCAGCCATTCTGAACGCAATCCCAGGGAGGGGCGGAGGGTTGGAGATGCAGACAGCACGTGTCTGCCCACTGGAAAGGGGACGTGAAGCGGGATCGAGGACAGCCGAGGCCACCTTGTCCGAGATGGGGAGGCGCGGCCGGTTGCGTGCCTGCTCCCGCCTTCCCCACCTCCATCTCCGCTAGTCGTCTCTGTGTAAGGAGCGCAGCCCGGAGCGTCCAGCTCCCCAGCCGGGACCAGGCCTGGGCTCGCACGCACCCTGCGCAGCGGCCGACCACCGTGCAGCGATGGGGTCCCAGGCCGCCCCGGGGCCCGCCTCCCCCCTGGGAACTCCCCAGCCCGGCCGGAGCCTCGGGGAGGGGAGCGGTGCCTCCCGCCCGCGTCATCTGATGCTGTTTCCTGCAGGAGGGAGAAGAGCGGAAAAAAGTGAAACTCCACCCTCCACCTCTGCCGCCCGCCCCCGGGCCAAAGTACAAAGGGAGGAGGAAGAAGGAGCCCCGTCCGGGCCGAAAAGGAGTCAGCCGGGGCCGGGAGGGACGCAGCCCGCCGCTTCCCGAAGCCGCAACACCCAAGTCCCCGCGCTGCGCCCGGCCGGCCCCACCTCGCCCTCAGCGGGCGCTGGACAGGACTGCTCCGGGGACCGAGCGACGCTCCGGCGAACGGCCCCTGCCTGCAGGCCAGCCATGGTGAGGCGCCGGAGGCCCGGGGCGCCCACCCCTCCAGCCTGACCACGCCGCCCCGCGCGCCCTGGGCGCACGCAGCCCGAGATGCGGGGGGCCGGGAGGAAGCGACACTCCTGGCTCCCCAGAGAGGTGTGGGTCTGGGGCTGAGGACTAGGGCCTCCCCGGCCAGCCAGCAGGGGTGGGGACCACGGGGCACCGGTCCCCGGCCATGGAGCCCCTCAAGAACCTCTTCCTCAAGAGCCCTCTGGGGTCGTGGAACGGCGGCGGAGGAGGGGGCGGAGGAGGGGGCGGCAGCGGCGCGGGCGGAGGGGGCCGGCCCGAGGGGCCCCCGAAGCCGGCGGCCTATGCCAACCCCGTGTGGACAGCCCTGTTTGACTATGAGCCCAGCGGACAGGACGAGCTGGCCCTACGGAAGGGCGACCGTGTGGAGGTGCTATCCCGGGACGCAGCCATCTCGGGCGACGAGGGCTGGTGGGCGGGCCAGGTGGGCGGCCAGGTGGGCATCTTCCCATCCAACTATGTGTCAAGGGGTGGCGGCCCGCCCCCTTGCGAGGTGGCCAGCTTCCAGGAGCTGCGGCTGGAGGAGGTGATTGGCATCGGCGGCTTCGGCAAGGTCTACCGCGGCAGCTGGCGGGGTGAGCTGGTGGCGGTGAAGGCGGCCCGCCAAGACCCCGACGAGGACATCAGCGTGACGGCCGAGAGCGTCCGCCAGGAGGCTAGGCTCTTCGCCATGCTGGCGCACCCCAACATCATTGCCCTCAAGGCCGTGTGCCTGGAGGAGCCCCACTTGTGCCTGGTGATGGAATACGCCGCCGGTGGGCCCCTCAGCCGCGCCTTGTCTGGCCGGCGCGTGCCCCCCCACGTGCTGGTCAACTGGGCTGTGCAGATCGCCCGCGGGATGCACTACCTACACTGCGAGGCCCTGGTGCCTGTCATCCACCGCGACCTCAAATCCAACAACAGTGAGTTCCTTGGGCCGGCTGGGGACGCTGGGCAGGGTGTGTGTGTGTGTGTGTGTGTGTGTCTGTCAAAACCAGGGTACTCCCCTCTTCCCCCCACTACCCCGTTCATGCTGGCTGGCCATCTGCAGGCCTGCAGGAGGCCTAGGTGACTGCAGGGGTGCCCGCAGGCCCCAGGCAGGTGAGCAAGGCCTGCCCAGGACCCCAGTGGGATCCTTAGTCCCAGCCAGTGACTGGGCGTGTCCCCCTGCCCGTGTAGGGTGCATCTCTGGCATCCAGAGGGCAGAACCCCCTGTTCCACCTGCTACATGACCACTAGCGGGTCAGTTCAGCTCCCGGCCCCAGTGTCAGCCTGAGTGAGAAGGGAAAGGGTGCTGGCTTCATATCCCAGCCCGCAGCGGGCCCTTGGCTGTGCATGGACACGGAACCTGCGTGCCGGGCAAGGGGCTGCCCATCAGGGGCCCCAGGCTCTGCGGTAACAGGTTCACAGGACTTGAGACTGTGGGCCAGGCCAGGGAGGGAGTGAAGCCCTGCCGGAGCCTCGAACACGGGGTGCAGGGCACTGGGAGACGCAAGGAGGCTGGGGCTGTGGAGGGTCCCTGGCAAGGGATGAGAGGCCCTTAGGAGGGGTCAGCGTTTATATTATGAGCTGACCCCTCCTAAGGGGCAACAAGATCAGTGACAGCCAAGTCCCTTCCAAAATTGCTCTCATCTGTCGGGTAGAGCAGCTAGCTCCCCACTTCTCTGCCTCACCCCCAGTGTCCCCCACAACCCAAGCCATCTTGGGACCCCACACTCCAAGCACCAGCCGAGGGGGATTCCCTGAAGGCCTGGGGGCGGAGACTCCCGTCTTCTGTTTTTCCTCTGGTTTTCTTTCCAGAAAAAAATGGAACAATAGCCCAGGCCCCTGCTCCCCACCCTCCCCACTGCTTCCTGCGCTTCCTGCTGCCCCTGGGCCGGCTTCCTGCCCCTGCCCCAGCCCCAGCTCCCTCCCAGGTCCAGCTGCCTGCTGGGAGGAAAGAGCTGGGGAGGCGGGTGGGGGTACAGGACAGGAAGGAGGCAGGGGCTGCGCCCCAGTCCCCTTGTTTCCTACATGGAATCTGTGCAGTGGTGCTGAAACGGGGCAAGCAGGGTGCCCTTGGGCCCTGGAACCCAGCAGCCAGCCTCACAGACCCCAGTCCTGGGCCCGAAGCGGCTGTCTGTGGGATTGGGGCGGGGGGAGTCCCTGCGTTGGGGGGTATCACAGGCAGAAAACAATGGCGTGATTTTCCTGGACAATGGGGGCCTTGTGAGGATGCCTGGCGGGGAGAGGAGGGGGGAATTCTCCAGGCCCACGAGTCACAGGACTGACCAGCCAGCCCAGCCTGGGCCTGGCCTCCCCCGAAGGATGCCCCCTCCCAGCTGGAGGGCCCAGCCCAGGCCTCCCCAAAAGGAGAAGTAGGGACCAGGGCCGGGAAGTAGACAGGCAGGAGCTCCCAGGCCACTCCCAAGCCCCGGAGAGGGCGGTGGTGGCAGGGAGCCCAGTGGCCCGGGTCTCTTCGAGGAGCCTAGGGGACAAGGTGTCTCACGACCCCCTGCCCCACAAACCTGTAGCTTCTCCTGCCCTTGCCACCTCCTCTGGCTGACCCCTTGATTTCCCGTACCAGAATGGCAACTGGAGTTGGCACAGTCCAGACCCAGGCGGGTGGGCAGTGGAGAAGGCGGCACAGGAGGCAGTGTGAAGCTGAGGTGTAGCAGGTGTCCGGGGGGAAGGCCACGGCCACAGAGCCAGCCTGAGCCTTCAGGGGCCTCAGCATCGCTAGCTGGAAGAGAGGGAAACCACCTCCCAGCGGGCTAGAGGTGCCAGCTGTGGGGTGCCACAGATGGTGAGAGCTGGGACTGGGAAGAGGCTGCCAGTGCCTGCCGCTCCACCCAGCTGTGCCCAGCTGGGAGCCATGGTCAGTGGGAAAGGGCCGTGTCAGAGCCCCCACGAGGCATAGGGGGCAGAGCTGGTGGCAGGGTCAGAGGTTGACTTCAGGCCCTAGGTTGCTGCCTCCTCTGAGAAGTCCTTGATGGTGTCGCCTCTGCCGCACCCAGCACAGCGCTGCTAGGCCGGGCTGGCGAGCCAGGAGCACTTGACTCAGGGTCCACTGTGGGCAGTGCCATTGGCTCACCTTTGCCCCTTGCATTCCTCACAGAGTCTGGGGAACCCCCCCCGGAGGGAGGGGGGTCAGAGCTGTGAGCCCCTTCTCAGTCTCACCCAGGCTCCTTCCTCATGGCTGCCTGGGGACGCTCTGCAAAAGTGTCCCAGCATTATACCGTCTACCTGTTGGAGGCAGAGAGAAATTTCCTGTAATTCTCCCTGAAGGCCTGCAGTGTGGTCCAAGCCAGGGCCAGGTCAAGGCCAGGAATGTGGGTGCCAGGCACCCAGCCACCTGAGGGCCTGCCTGCTTCAGGCCTCATCCCCGCGGCTCATGGGATGCAGCTGCCTGGGCCCGTAGCAAAGGCGCAGCATCATGGCTGGGGTCTGATGCCACCAGGGCAGGTTCTGGGCCACACACCTCCCTGCCCGTAGCACACGTGGTGTCGTCATCGTTGCGTTAGGGCCACTCCGTGCTTCACTTCCATTACTGTTCATGACGAAGATTCCAGCTTTGCCTCACGGTCAGGAGCCTCCGTGGGCCTCCGTGCCACCGTGGGCCTCCGTGCCACCGGCAGCAGGTGGAGGCCTGTGGGCTTTCCCAGCCCTCCCTCCACCTGACCCTGGAACGCCGCGTCCTTCCCGTAGTTCTGCTGCTGCAGCCCATCGAGGGTGATGACATGGAGCACAAGACGTTGAAGATCACCGACTTCGGCTTGGCCCGGGAGTGGCACAAAACCACCCAGATGAGCGCCGCGGGCACTTACGCCTGGATGGCCCCCGAGGTTATCAAGGCCTCCACCTTTTCCAAGGGCAGCGATGTCTGGAGGTGTGGTTGGGGAAGGGGACCGCAGTAGCTAGGGGTAAAGCAGCCACAGGTATGAAAGCGGAGGGACACGGACCTTTGTTGTCTCCCCTACAGCTTCGGGGTGCTACTGTGGGAACTACTGACCGGAGAAGTGCCCTACCGTGGCATCGACTGTCTGGCCGTGGCTTATGGCGTGGCAGTCAATAAACTCACCCTGCCCATCCCATCCACCTGCCCGGAGCCCTTTGCACAGCTCATGGCTGGTAAGAAAATGGGGCTTGACCAGGTGAGGGGACAAAGCATCCTGACCCAGGACCTTATCCACTCAAACTTTGCCTTCTGTCTGCTGCCCCATCCCCGCCATGCCCAGACTGCTGGGCGCAGGATCCGCACCGCAGGCCCGACTTCGCGTCCATCTTGCAGCAGTTAGAAGCACTGGAGGCGCAGGTCCTGCGTGAGATGCCGCGGGACTCATTCCATTCCATGCAGGAAGGCTGGAAACGCGAGATCCAGGGTCTCTTCGACGAGCTGCGGGCCAAGGAAAAGGTGCGGGCGGGGGAGGTGGAGACCCCAACATTGGGAGGAGGATGGTCGCGGGGTGGGGTGCGGGCGCCAGGCTGACCCCCACCGCCCTGGCAGGAACTCCTGAGCCGCGAGGAGGAGCTGACGCGCGCGGCGCGCGAGCAGCGGTCCCAGGCCGAGCAGCTGCGGCGGCGCGAGCACCTGCTGGCCCAGTGGGAGCTGGAAGTGTTCGAGCGCGAGCTGACGCTGCTGCTACAGCAGGTGGACCGGGAGCGGCCGCACGTGCGCCGCCGCCGCGGCACCTTCAAGCGCAGCAAGCTCCGCGCGCGCGACGGCGGCGAGCGCATCAGCATGCCCCTCGGTAAGGGGAGGGACGCCGCGCTGGCCGCCCTGCGATTGGCTGAGGCAGGCGGGGGGCGGGCGCAGCAGTGGGTTTTCCTTTTTTTTTTTTTCCTTGTCCATGGATAGAAACATTCGTTGGCGGCCGGGGAGGGGTGGGGCTTGTGGATGTTGTGGGACCGCCTAGGGGACACGGCGCGCAGGTGAGGGGAGTGGGGTCCCCGGCAGGTGATCCATGGGACCCAGGAAGGACCTGCAGGGCGGGAAGCTGGCCCCGGTCACACAGCTGTCGCGGGTGGGGCAGCTGACAGCCCTTCACTGCAGTCACGCATCTTGGTATTCCCCACCCCAACTGCAGACTTCAAGCATCGCATTACTGTGCAGGCCTCGCCCGGCCTGGACCGGAGGAAAAACGTCTTCGAGGTTGGAGCTGGGGACTCTCCCACCTTCCCCCGCTTCCGGGCCATCCAGTGTAAGAACCGACCCCACCCCAGTCCCCTTCCCTCCTTGGATCCCGCAGCTGCCGCTTGTTGCCCTCGCTTCCCGTGCGCTGCTGACTTCAGGTTCCCAAACCACGTTTATTTTACTTAGGTTTTTTTTCTTCTTTTTTTTATCAGTTACTTGTATGATTCATTTTCCTGACTTGAGTTAACATGAACTCATTTGTTGATGTTAATTCCTTGTAGCTGTATCCTATCGCGTAGGGAGTGTTAACTTCAGTCTCATTTCTTTATTTGCAAGACACTGAAAGCGTATCTAGATTGAGTCTCCACCCAGAACTGCTGCAGGCTTGCCCCAGGCCGGCCTGCAGCTCCATGAGTCTCCCCCGGAGATGGCAGGAACCAGCAGCTGGCACCTGCTTCTTCCTGGGATACAGCAGGAAGCTGAGTCAGGAATATGAGCCAGAACTCAAGCCCAGGCTCAGAGACGGACTGGGGACATGCGACCTCGTGTCTTAACCGCCTGGACCCATTGAGAATAAAGTTACTGGGCTTTCACAGCCAAGGGACAAAGCCAGAATTCCAAACCAGCCCATTGCTGTCCACATTTGTGCTAAGTTCTAAGCAGCAAAGGTCATGCTGTCCCCAGAACCCCAAATGCACCAAGAGCCCAGCCTGTCGGGATGGGGGGCCACACTGACCTCAGCTTCCCATCCCCGCCAGTGGAGCCTGCAGAACCGGGCCAGGCTTGGGGCCGCCAGTCCCCCCGACGTCTAGAGGACTCCAGCAACGGCGAGAGGCGAGCCTGCTGGGCCTGGGGGCCCAGTTCCCCCAAGCCCGGAGAAGCCCAGAACGGGAGGTAAGTGCCTGAGCTGCCCCCCCCCAGCTAGCCCTGTGTCATCTGCCGCCCCAAGACCGTGCAGTTCACAAAGTACTGCCCCCTGCCGCAGGAGGAGGTCACGCGTGGATGAAGCAACGTGGTACCTGGATTCGGACGACTCCTCTCCCTCAGGCTCTCCTTCCATACCCCCGACACCCAACGGTAAGTGGCCCGCCGTGCAGCGTCTGCCCTGCAAGTGTTGGGCTGCTCCCAGAACCCAGTCCTGCAGCAGCAATGCAGCAGCTAGAGCTGTCTCCCACCCACCAGGAAGTCTGTGAGCAGGAACTTTGATCAAGATGGGGATACTGAGGCCCAGAGAGGTTCAGTGGTCGGCTGGAGGCCGCCAGAGGTTGGCTAGGGTGTAAACCCAGCGCCCGCAACGCCACTGGCTGCACCTGTGTACACTGCAGCAGTCACTCGTTTGAGGGCCAAGGGGATTGGGTTCCCTTTTTCCAGAATGTTCCAGAATGCTCCAGGCCACAGAACCCATGCACAGCTTAAGGTGCTGGTCAGCAGGCCCTGTCTGGCACCCCTGGGCTTTGCCCTTCCTGGAGCCCGAGCTCCATCCTTTTCCAGCTGCCCCCACTCCTTCCCTATAAGGATGCCATGTCCCTGCCTCAGCCCAAGACTTGGAGAGCCACCGCATGCTGGAGCTGTGTGTCCCCAGCCCACGCCATGCCTCGGTCATACAGGCCCAATCACACCTGCACACTGTCTGACCAGGCTCTGCCTGCCCAAAAGGCCCCTGTGGGTAACTCCAGGCTTGTCCCTGGGTCAAGTGCGGTGCCCACACGATCTTAAGCCACTCCCACCCGGATGCCAAGCCTCGGGCCACTGACCACACGAGTGTCCTCTCTGCCTCTGCTTCCCCCACTGGGAGTGACCAAGCCCTTGGCCAGCAGAGAAAGGACGGTGAGGAGCCCGTGGGGCTATAGGAGCAGACGCCTGCATCAGACACATACCGGTGCCTTCGGTGTATCCATCCTAACCTGATGGAGGAGGCTGACCCTGGAAGGAAAGAAGTGGGGCAAGTGGCAGGCATCTGAGGCCCCTGCACATCACAAGCAGGTTCAGGGAAATGTGGGACAGTTTCACGGAAGAGGTGGGTGATCTCTTAGATGGCAAGTAAGAGGTTACAGGAGAGGTGAGGGCTGAGCTGCGCCCAGGAGGGGGAGGGCTGGCATCGCTCGGAGCCAGAGGCTCAGGGAATGTGTGTCTGCAGAACCAATGAGTGAATGGATCTGGAAAAGCCAGGCAGGAGCCCGTCCCGGGAGGGCCTAGATGGGATGTGGAGTGTTCAGGCCAAGGCCCAGTTGCAGCAGGCAGGCGTCCATTGCGCCTAGCCCAGGAAGCTGGACTTGGCGCCGGTGGCAGGGGACAGACAGCACAGGGAGCGGAGTCCAGAGCAGAGTGTGGCGGGCAATGGGCAGAGCACGGGTGCTGCTGCCGCTGCCCGAGCAAGAGCCAAGCCCCTGGCCAGGCTGGTATGGGATGCGGCACAGGCTTGAACCGGCCTAAGGCTTCAGCAGCTTCCCCCCCAACCAGAGGCTCAGAGGCAGGAAGCGCCGGTGCCTCTTTCACCTCATGTGGGGCTCTGGACCCCAGCATCCTGACCTTTTCCAACCCCCAGCTTCGCTCCACCACTGGAGTGAGGGGTGGGTAGGCAGTGAGCCCAGAGCAGTCAGGGGGGCCTGCCTAACCACACTAGCCCCCCCATGCAAGGCCACCTGGCAGCTTTGCCCCTGCTGGTACACCCCTCACCCGCCCCAAAGGATGTGTGTAAGTGGGGGAAAACTCAGTAGCACCGACAAGGTTAGCTGCCGGTAGCCAACGGAATGGGGGCCCCCCCGCCCAAAACCCCTGAGGGAGGGGGTCTCCTAGGCATGCACTGGTTCCAGCCTCACTGTGCCACCTGCCTGCAGGTAACCCCCGGCGGCCAAGCCCAGAGCCCGAGGAGCCCCGGCGGCCCAGCCCTGGCGAGCGAAGCAGCAGCTCCGCCACGCCCAAGCTCATCCAACGCGCACTCCTGCGTGGCACCGCCCTGCTCGCCTCCCTGGGCCTGGGCCGCGACCTGCAGCCGCCCACCCCAGCTTCAGGGGGTGCGAGCCGGGAGCGCGGGGAGACCCCGCCCGCACCCCCTTCGCCAGCGCCTGCACCCAACCCCGCCACCGAACCACCTGCCTCCCCGCTCACTCACCTCTCCCCCAAAACGCCCGCCACCACACCTCTGCTGCTGGACCTGGCCATACCTGCCGGCCAGCCCTCAGCCAAAAGCCCCCGCCGTGAGGAAACACGTGAGTGTCCGGGGTGGGAGAGGGAAGGCCAGTTTTCCATCCAGGTTAGCAGCAGTGGCCAGCGGGACTGGGGATAACAGACAGTCCCGTGAGGACAGCAGGCGCCTCAGCAGCCTTGGTCCTGCTGCCAGAGAGAGATTCCATCTGCTGTTTGGCTCTCCAGATGGCTGGAGCAGCCAGCGATGGGCCCAGTGGAAGCCAGGAGCTTCATCCGGGTTTCCCATGTGGGTGTGGGAGCCCAAGCACTTGGGCCATCCTCAGCTGCTTTCACAAGCCATAAACAGGGAGCTGGACAGAAAGTGGAACAGCCGGGACACGAACCTGCGCCCACATGGGATGCTGACACCTCGGACTGTGGCTGTTTTTGATGAGAGCAGTCAACAGTTCAGTGGAGGGACTCAGGGCTCCCCAACCAGTGGCAGCTCTGGGACCCCAGCCCAGGCCCTTCTGCTCCCCGGTGTTTGAGGTAGTTTAGTCAGTGTACCCCAAAGCCTACAGATCTGTAGGAGCCAGGAGTGGCGTTAACTGCCGTGCAGAGAAACGGCCTGGGAGTGGGTGGCCCGAGGCCCTGGAGACCCCCTGACCCTGTGCTCTCCCCCATCTCCTCACAGGAGGCACCGTGTCACCTCCACCCGGGACGTCGCGCTCTGCCCCCGGAACGCCGGGCACACCACGCTCGCCGCCGCTGGGGCTCATTGGCAGACCCCGCCCCTCGCCTCTCCGTAGTCGTATCGATCCCTGGAGCTTTGTGTCTGCGGGGCCACGGCCCTCACCTCTGCCCTCGCCACAGCCTGCGCCCCGGCGGGCACCTTGGACCTTGTTCCCGGACTCAGACCCCTTCTGGGACTCCCCGCCTGCCAACCCCTTCCAGGGGAGACCCCAAGACTGCAGGGCACAGACCAAAGACATGGGTGCCCAGGCTCCGTGGACACCTGAGGCAGGGCCCTAACCCCCAGCTGGGCTGTCTGGAAGAGCTGTCACATACACTGGAGGGGAGCCCCCACCCCACCTTGCCCTGGGGGTCAGGAACACTACACTGCACAGGAAGCCTTCACACTGGAGGGGGGCCTGCACCCCCACACCTGCCACCCGTCGGTCTGCCCCCCACCCCACTGTCCCGACGGACCTGCCCCACTGGGGCCTGACACTGTACCCCACTGGTTGGGACGACCAGAGCCTGTCTCAGGGAATTGCCCCCAAGGGTGGTGCCAGGGAGAGGGGCCGGCCTCGTGGGCACCAGTTCTTTGGACCAAGTCCTGTAGCGTGGCCCTTGCCCTGGGCTCCTTCGGTGCCTTTCTGCACCCCGGCCAGGCTGGGGCCTTCACCTCGGGATCCAATGAAGCCAAATAAACTTGGAAGCTGTCTCCCAAATGCAGCCTGGTGTCCGGCCTTTGCAGAGCCCACTGGGACCTACACCTCCGTCAGCTACCAAGGCTCCTCTCAGTCTGTGACAGCCACACACAATGGCATCCCCCGCCATCTTGCTGGGCACCCACTGCCCATCCCCTCAGTCTAGTGGCAGCATCACTCATTTCTGCTGAGTTTCCCAGTATTGCCAGCAGACCGTGCCTGAGGCTGGGAGGGGTTCCTCCTGGCCCCCAAGACCAGCAGAGTGGGGGTAGATCTGGGGAAAGGGTCCTTGAAGAGACACCTGCCAGGCCCTCTGAGCCCAGGCCATAGCAACCTAGCTGGGATGCCAGGCCATGCTGGACCTCTGGGCCTGTGCCCTTGCCCTGCCCATGCTGGCCAGACATTTGCCCTGTTCCCCACCCTCCCGACTCCAAGTTCTCCTGGCCCCAACTGGCCTCTTCATCCCCAGACAAGCTGTCTCCTCCCTCCCAGGGAGATGTCCCTCGCTGAATCACCTGCCCCTTCCCCTGGGGCCTTCCCAAGTGTGGTTTGCCCCACTTCACTCAGGGAAGGAAGGCCCATGCTCTACCCCACTGTGCCCCTCACAACTGAGGCTTGTTCACCAAACAGGCGTGGCCGAGTGACTCAGGCAACCATAGGTGTGAAGCCCTCCCAGAGCTGGCTTCCTGGCTGTGGGGAACCCGGCAGCCAAGGCTTCAGACACAGACACTGGCTGAGCCCCTCCGCCCACACAGCATCTCCACCTGGCCCCTCCCAGACGTGTGCACCGCCGCCAGAGCAGCCGGCTCTCACAGCAATCCCGGGCTCACTCAGCACCATGGGCTGGCTGAGGCCCTGGGCGTGCTACTGGTTCCTGCTCGTGGCCCACCTGCTGGCCCTGGGCCTTGGGGCGCTAGTGCTGCAGGCGCTGGAGGGACCACCAGCCCTGCAGCTGCAGACCGAGCTCAGGGCTGCACTGGCTGCCTTCCAGGCTGAACACAGGGACTGCCTGCCACCAGGAGCCCTGGAGGAGCTGCTGAGCACCGCCCTGAGAGCCCAGGCTCACGGCGTCTCCAACCTGGGTGACGGCCTGGAGGCCAGCAGCTGGGACCTGCCCTCGGCCCTGCTCTTTGTCACCAGCATCCTCACCACCACTGGTAAGGCCACCAGGCGTCCGCCGGCAGCGGGGTGTCCCCGGGTCCCTGTGGACATAGCCCTTCCTCCTGGGCTCCGGAGCCCCAGAGCAAGCCCAACCCCCAGACGGGAGGCTCCCCACACCAACACACCCCAACTGGTGCCTCCACTTCAGCTGCCAGCAGGGGTGCGGCTTCCCCAGCCCCACCCACAGACACCCTGGGAGAGGCCTAAGGAGGGAGCACAGTGCATGAGCAACTCTAGAAGGTTCCAGAAGGTTTCTGGAGGGGCGGGCACCACGGGGGTGGCCACATCTGGAGGTGCCCACATCCGTGTTGGAGGGGCTGGCCGATCCGACTGCTCTGCTTCCGCTCCAGCTCCCTGCTGAGGCACCTTGGCAGTGGCTGAGACTGCTCAAGCAGTTGGGCCCTGCCAGCTGTGTGGGAGACCAGGATGGAGCGCCTGGCCCGACCCTGACTACTGGGTGAGCAGGGGGCATCTGGGTAGTCAGTCAGTGGTTGGAACATCTCTCCATGTTAAATCTGCTTTTTTAAAATGTTTATAGCAGATGCAATTAAAAGTTTATTTTGGTGCAAGAATATTTTGAAACGCATGTATAGGTTTTTTTTTTCTTTTCATAATGCACATTTCCATGAACTTTCTGAAGATCCCTGATATGGCAGGGTGGGTTCCTGGCTGGGGAGCAGGCTTGGGAGTCCAGGGAGAGGGGAGGAGCACAGAGCAGGACCACCAATCTGAGAGAGAAGGAGGGCTCCCCAGGAGGAACCCCGATGAGCCATTAGCCCAGTCAGAGGACAGAGGCGAGGGCAGGCAGAGAAGGGCCACAGAAAGGAAGGGGACCCACAGTGTGCTTTCAGCTTACTTATTGATTGATTTAATAGGGAGCGTTACACAGAAGGCTCCTCCATCCACTAGCTCACTCCCTAGATGGCTGGGCCAGGCTGAAACTGGGAGCCAGGAGCTTCCTGTTGGTCTCCCTCACAGGTGGGCAGGGGCCCAAACCCTTGGACCATCCTCCACCCGCTTCTGTTTCCAAGCTCTCCTGACCGAGCCTGAGTCCCGTTAAGGCCTGCCCTTGGCCCTGGTGCCTGCTTGCCCCATCCCACTCTGGTCCATGCCGCACCCTCTTGTGTCATGGCTGGCTCCCGTGGGCACTGCAGTTGGCAGCCTCCGGACCAGCCGATCCTGTTCTCCCATGAGCCCTGCCTGCCCTTGCACAAGCAGCTCCAGCCCCCAATGCCCTCTCTCCTGTGAGTGGCCCCATCTGCCAGGATCGACCCTGTGTCCCTAAGCAGCACACAGCTGGGCATAGACACACCTTTGGGGAAGGACCTCTGCCCAGTTGTGGTCTCGGACGTGCCGGTCAGGGGCAGAGCTGAAGCGTCTCTCCGGAAGACTGCACCTGCCACTGAGGCCTGGGGGTGGGGCAGTTCTTTGAATCCTTGCATTTTCCAGAATGAGTGGTCCAAGAGGTGTTTTAAAATCTGACCACTAGGGGGCAGCCTCCCACCTGGGCTGGGAAGCAGAGACCCCACCAGCTCTCTTCCTCCCGCAGGTTATGGCCGTCTAGCTCCCCTCTCCGCGGGTGGAAAGGTCTTCTGTGTGATCTACGCCGCCCTGGGGCTGCCAGCCTGCCTAGCCCTGGTGGCGGCCCTGCGCCGGGGCCTGCTGCCCACACTCAGCCGCCTGGGAGCCTGGCTGGTGGTCCCCTGGCAGCTGGCCCAGGCCAGGGCTGCACTTCTGCAGGCAGCTGCCCTGGGCCTGCTGGTGGTGACCACCTTCGTGCTGCTGCCCGCCGTGGTGCTGTGGGCAGTGCAGGGCGACTGCAGCCTGCTGGAGGCCGTGTACTTCTGCTTCAGCTCGCTCAGCACCATTGGCCTGGGGGACTTGCTGCCTGCTGGCGGCCACAACCTGCACCCAGCCGTGTACCACCTAGGCCAGCTAGCACTCCTCGGTGAGTCCCAGGAGCCACTCACTGGGGCTGGGTGGTGTGAGGTGGGCGGTCATCTGCCTGGGGGTCGGGGTGTGGACATGGTGACCAGCACCCCTACACCCAAGAGCTACCCCGGCCATCTCTCCTCCCCAGGTTACTTGCTCCTGGGGCTCCTGGCCATGCTGCTGGCCGTGGAGACCTTCTCGGAACTGCCCCAGGTCCGGGCCATGGTGGAGTTCTTTGGGTACAGTGATTCTACGACAGATGAAGACCAAGGCAGCATCCTGGGCCAGGACGAACTGGCTCTGGGCACCACGACGGGCGCGGCCCCGCCAGCCTCAGCGCAGGCCCCAGCATGCGGACAGGTGTCCCAGGACCTGGCAGCTCCTTGAAGGCGCCGGAGGGGCGGGGTCGGGCGTCAGTCCCAGGAGAAGGGAATAAAACAGGATTCAGAAGTGTTTTCGCAACTTCTTTGGAAAGGCGACTCCCCCAAGCCCGGCCTCAGTGTCTGCAAACCACTCGGCGGGCACAGCCGCGGCACCGCCCTCCTACGCTGTCCACACCACACTGTCCCGGGCAGGCGAGCCACTTCTGCTGCCACTTCTCCCGGCGGTGCAAGAGCCCCTCGTGCTGGGAGGGGGAGGAGGGCGCACGGCCGCAGATCCTGCAGATGGAGGCTTCCCGCCGTGGAACGCACGCACACACTCAGGCAAATAAATAGGACGCAGCCGCCTCCCGCACCCGCGGCGCCGGGTCCGTGCGGGCGCGCAGACCGGGGCTGCAGACTCAGCTCAGCACGCAGCGCTCACGCCGGCTTAGCTGGCGGCTCAACTTGCGGCGCCGCTGCTCCAGGCCACGCTCCAGGCGCGCGTCTTCCTCCAGGGCGCTGAAGGGAAAGGCTTGGAGTAAGTCCCTCCAGCGGTGGCGGCGGTAGCAGTGTCCCGCCCTCACCTTACCCTGGGCAGCCCTCCTGCGCCCCCCACCAGCACCCCCACTCACATGCGCTCCTTGTGGTCCAGGTCCCGGACCAGCTCGTCCCGCTGGTTCACCAGCGACACCAACTCCTCCAGCAGCAGCTGCTCCCGATGTTGCTGCGCCGCCGTTTTCTGCCAGTCTGCAGGCAGCAGAGGCTGAGGATCAGCCAGTGCCTCACCCAGCATTCCCACCCCCAGCCCCGGCTCCCACCTTCGATGGCCAGCATGGCCCGCAGCTCCCGGCTCAGCAGCTCAAACCTCCGCTCCAAGTCCTGCTCCTCGATGCTGGAAGGGGAGAGGTGCCAGGTCAGCAAGGGAGTCCCAAGTCTGGACCCCACCCCGGCTCCCCGCCTTCCAGCAGTTTTCATGCCCAGTATAGTCATTCATCAGCCTGAGAGCTTGTCTGCCCCGTCCCTCACCCTGTTTCAATTTTCTTATTTTGGGGGCCAGCACTTTGGTATAGCAAGTTAAGCCTCTGCCTACAGTGCCAGCATCCCATGTGAGTGCTGGTTTGAGCCCCAGCTGCCCTGCTGCCCATCCAGCTCCCTGCTTGTGACCTGGGAAGCAGTAGAGGACGGCCCAAAGCCTTGGGACCCTGCACCAATGTGGGAGACCTGGAAGAGGCTCAGCTCAGCTCTGGCCATCACTGACATTTGGGGGTGAACCAACAGATGGAAGATATATCTGTTATATCTTTGCCTTTTGAATTGAAAAAAAAATTTTTTTTAATTCTTGTTTTTATTTGAAAGAGTGACAGATTGGGCCCAGCACGGTGGCCTAGTGGCTAAAGTCCTTGCCTTGCATGTGCCAGGATCCCATATGGATACCGGTTCTACCCATCCAGCTCCCTGCCTGTGGCCTGGGAAAGCAGTCGAGGACAGTCCAAAGCCTTGGGACCCTGCACCTGCGTGGGAGACCCGGAAGAGCTCCTGGCTTCGGATAGGCTCAGCACCGGCTGTTGTGGTCATTTGGGAAGTGAATTATTGGACAAAAAATCTTTCTCTTTGTCTTTCCTCCTCTCTGTACATCTAACTTTGCAATAAAAATAAGTAAATCTTAAAAAGAAAAAGAAAAAGTGCCAGAGAAAGGAGTCCCACCTGCTGGTTCACCCCCCACATGACTCCAGGCTGAAGCCAGGAGCCAGGAACTCCAGTCTGGTCTCCCACATGGGCGGCAGAGGCCCAAGCACCTGGGCCATCTCCTGCTGCCTTCCCAGGAGAACTAGCAGGGAGCTGGTGGGATAGGATGTTGCTGTCACAAGTGGTGGCACTGGGGGAGGTTGAGTCACCATTTGTGGTCCCTGCTTAGTTTTGAAAGGCTAAGAGATAAGGTGAGAGAGAGAGAGACAGAGCTCCATGGGTTCGACCCCCGCCCCAAGAACCAGCTCAAAGGCACAGAAGGAGTCAGGCTGGGGGCCCTCAGGCCGTGCCTTCCTGGGCCAGGGCTGGGTTTTTCCTGCCTGGAAAAAAACAAAACAACAAGAACAACAAAACAACCCTAGCAGGTTAAGAGGCAGCGAGGGGAGAGGCGTACACTTTTACACAGTAAGTCACGGAGGATGCCACAGGCAGTAAGACCAACGTGGGTTGAGCAACGAGCTTGCAAAAAGGCCCTTTGTGGGAAGGAGCAGCAGCCCGAGGCCTCCGGCCCGGCTGAGCTGCACTTGGCCCGGCTCGGCCACTTACAGCAGCTGCAGCTGGTCCTGGCGCCGGATAAGTGCGTTCTTCTTGTTGACCAGCGTGAACCACTCCTGGATCAGCAGCTCCTCCTGTAGCCGGTCAGCCCCTGCATGAAACCCCGGTGTCACAGCGAGCCTTGGAGACAGCGGGTGGGCTGATGGAACTGGGGGTGCCTCCTGCCAGCCCCTCCCAGAGCGAGCAGGATGGAGGGCACTGGTGGAAGGGGGCACCAGCGCCCACCCCACCTGACTCCATGAGGCCCCTCAGCTGCGTCTCCACCTCGGCCGCTCGGCCGTCAATCTGCCGCTGCTCCTGCTCCAGGGCCTGCAGCTCGGCGCACACGTACTGACTCGTGTCCTGGAACCTTTGCTGGGGGCAGGGGTGAGGGGGAGCAGAGATGGCCAAGCGTGGGGTGGGTTCAGCCCCAGCCCTGCCCACCAAATGCCCTCCTCATCCACTGCCCCCACTGCTTACCAGCCCAGCGTCCTCCCCCAGGTTTGGGGGTGCCTCTTCCTGGGGGGGACTCACAGCTGCACACAGAGACAGGGCTAAGACACCCTGGCCAGCACCCAGCCCAGGAACCCCTCCCCCCACCACAGGGCAAAAGGACTTACTGGGGGGCTGCTGAGGGGCTGGGGCTGTTGGGGGACCAGGGGGGCCAGGGGCAGCACTGGGGTCAGGGTTTGGGACTTCCTGTGGAAGAAAACACCGTGGTAAGAGCTCCTCCCAGCAGTCCTGGCCAGGAGAACCTCTCTCTCTTTCACACTCTCTCTCTCTCTCTCTCACACACACACACACACACACACACACACACACACACACACACACACACACACGAGCAGAGGGGCCCAGCCCCAGACCCTGCCCACCCAGCTCCCATGTTGCCCATCTAGGAGACATGCCAAGAACACACCAGGCCTGGAGCCCGGGGCCAGGCTAGTGGCCTTACAGAATGAGAGCCAGTGGGGGAAGCCGTTAAGGCCACAGAGGCCTCTCCTTGTCCCAACTGGGGCTGTGTGGCCTCAGCTTGCAGCTCAGCCCATGGCTGGCCCCCTTTTGGGCTCCAGGGGACAAGTCACTCCACAGTCCTCTCAGATGGGCCTCTGGCATCCCTGGCTCCGGCGCCACGCCCTCTGGCCGGGGTCATGCTCAAGGCCCCCGTGTCCTGGGACTCTGTGGACTCCACCCAGCCGCCGGCTCCTCCAGCCTGTGCTGCCTGCCAGCCAAGCCCTCAGCCTGTGCAGAGGGCAATGCACTTTCAGTTCCCTCAGCAGCTTCCCCAGCGTGTGTGGGTCTCCATCTTTGCAACCCAGCTGAGCCGCAGCTCTCCCTTCCGCCTCCCACACCACGCTCCACTCCCACCCTGACCCCAAGTCCTCCCCCAGCACCGTCTCCCTGAGCGCTTTGCCCTGAGTCCCAGGCAGGGCACAGGTGTTGTCCCCATGGGTCACTCCCATTCCAGCTCTGATCCCCCAACCCTCGGTCAGGCCAGAGACAGCCCTTCCAGATGGGGCTGAGCCCGCCCAAGGTACACACTGCCTGGCAAGCATTATCTCCAGAGGGTCCCTGCAGTGGGCACTGCCCCCACAGTGGGCACCAGCCCCACACTGGGTACTGCCCAACACTTCCCATGGACCACCTCCTTCAGTGTCAAGACAAAACTCGGGGGTCAGGGAGGAGACCCAAAAGGGGCCCTGCCCACCGCTGGTCAAGCTGGAAGTTCGCTCCCCAAAGTCTGGACACCCCATGACCTTCTGTATCCTGGTGTGTCCCCTGAGGGAAAATCCCAACTTTGTGTGACCTGGAAGGTGCCCAGCTCCCCAGACGGGCATCTGGCAGTGGAACGCACAGCTGTCCCTGGGGACAGTAGCCTGCACTGGTCCTCCTGCAAAGAGCTGTCCTGTCTCAACCTCAGTAGCTTGCCCAGGGTCATGCCACCGGTAACAAGGCTGTGTGCCCAGCAGAGGGCGCCATGGGGAGCCCAGGCGAGGCACCTGCCTCTTCCTTCGCCCACCTCTACAAGGAGGCGGTCCCTTCTCCCTGGCAGGGGCATGGTGAGTGGTCCATGAGCGCCAGCGGGGAAGACCAGTGCAATCGCAGCCTCTCTCCCTCCCCAGCCCTGATGAACACCCCGTGTTTCCTGTGTCCAGCCCACACTCCCCTATGCCCCATGTTCAGCCTACATTCCAGGGCAACTTACTGCCTTTCTTCACCCTCCCTGCCTCCATCTGGTTGCCCCGGTCCCACCCCAGCTGCGGGGTCCCTGACCTCTGCTTTCCCTCGCACTCCCCTAGGCAGGGCCACACCAGGCTGCCTCTGGAAGCTCTCTGGTTTGGGGTAGCCAATAAGGAGTCATCCCTTCCAGTCCCGTGGGTCCGTTATTTCCTGTGGGGCACAGGGCAAGAGGAGGGCCTGGCTTGAAAAAACCAGATGTTGGGACACTGGCCCAGAGGCATGCAGGCTGGAGCCGGCCCTTTAGGATTTAAAGAGCCCCGGACATGGCGGGCTCACACACACACAGGCTGGTTGGAGGGGGCGGGAGCTGCATCCTGCCTGACTCCTGGGGTCGCCCAGGGCCCTCCACCTCTCTCCCGCAGGCCCAACACTGAACTCTGGCCCTACCTTCAGGACACCTGCTCCTGGCCAGGCTGACTTGCTTACTGCTACATTCTTGTGCTGTAATTGGAAAACCACCCTCACCTAGAAAACACGTGTCCAGTTGGTCGACTACTTGACACCCTAACGAACTGACCTGAGACCTGAGGGGACAGG